TGAATGTTGTGTAGAATAAATAAAGTAAAGGACTAAAGATTTAAATAACTGACAACTTACCAACTTCAGATTATTAATTATTGAATAAATTATTTAGTTATATGGAATACAATAAAAATAATAAGTATTTGAATTGTTTATAAATAAAAATTTAATATTTCAGTTTGTTTGATATACTTTTAGATTCTCCAGTGCCACTTTCTTCAAATTCTTCAATATTAATGGAAACTAGTTTTGTTATATTGCAAATTTGGTTTAATTATATTTAATTATTTACAATTAAGTTTTTTTAATAAATAAAAATCTTAATATTTCAATTTTGTTTTGTATATTATATTTACCTTCAGGTTCTTTGGTATATACAAAAACATTGCAAGTTTATTTTAATAATTTTGAATAATTCTAATTTATATTATTATTCATGTTATATGCTTTACCTTTACCATCCATTGCTTATATCAAAATTCTCCCTAATTGAAAAAGATAAAATAAATATCTTTTTTTTTTATTATTAACCGTCTTTATTAGTATGAATAAACAATATTTATGCAAAATGCATTGTGCAGAAGCGTTGATCACAAGTACAAGCATTGCACAAATTTTGCACAAATTTTGCACAACTGGAATGTATATCAATTATTACAAAATCGCAGTAACTGGTTGCGCATCGGTTAACTATAGTACTTTTCCTTCGCTCTTACCTTTTCCCGGGATTTAATCTTTAATTATATGATTAAAATGAGTGAAGCTCTCTATTCTTTAAGAAGCAAACTTTTTATTAGAGAACTTTTTGAAGAAATGGAATTTCCATCACAAATGTAAAAATGTAAAGATTTATTAGATATTTATGGTTTTAGGGCTGGTTTGATAGAATCAAGCGGACGCTTATGTGAACATCAGTTGTGTTCCCAAAAAGATAATGCAGTGCGAATATGTATGTGTTTGAAATCTTGATTGGTAGGTAGGTATAGGATGTGAAAAGAAGGATCTAATGAAAGTTATAAATTTTAGAATTTTAAATTTTACGTTAAAAATATAATTATGATAATTATTGAAGTAGACTAACCATTCATTGAAACTTTGATCCATAACGAGTACAATATGAAAAGCTGGATATTTATAACTTTAACATGTGCTGTAAATATAGGTCAAAGTTATTAATAATATAAAATATTGTTATAATAAAAATATGAAAATTTATCGTAAAAGTTGTGCGACATATTGTCTTGCTGATCATAAACGACCCAAGTCATGTAAACCCGAATATTTATCGAGTTTGGTTTTCATACTCAAGTACATTCTCAAACCCGATCTGACTCGACCCTTTCAGAACATTATCAGCCGGTAATGAGAATTTTTCGTTCCCTTTAATTATATCGTTCTAAGCTTTTTGAACTTGATAAGCAGTCTATAACGATATTTGAAAAATAAATCGTGTGGTAAAGCTAAATTTATAATCATAAATGTGGATTAAGTGACGTAATTATGGATCGTCTGACTGTCTGACTGATTGTAATTTCATATAAATACTCCAAATACCCTGTATTTAAATTCGCTAATGATTTAAGTGATATCCATTTTCCCAAACTCGTATATCATTCATATGAAAATTTTCATTTTAATTGAAATATTGTTTATTAAATAGTATAAATACTTGTACAAAAATTTTATAGCTTCCAAAATTTTCTTTTTCAGTCAAAAATGATTTTAAATGTGATCAATTCTTGAAGACTGAGTTTACAAGTTCTTTATGATAAATTATTCTTCTAAAGAAAGACTTCTCCACAAGTAAATTCTAAGTGTTATAAACTAAAAATCTATTTATGCAATAAAAAAAAAATAATAATTCAACACTTTCAATTACTTAGATCTTAAAGAAGTATTTTACCTGAAACTTTTCTAATAATCTTAAATTATGCTAAAATTCTATCAATTGACAAAAATCTTTTCAAATAGAAAATGATAATTTAAATGATCGTACGAGCAACAAACACCGGTGAAATCACCTAGTTGATATCACCTGATTGATTTTTTTGTTTATTTGTTTATCAACCTTTTTTCGACGTTCTTTAATATCCTTCAATGTTCTTTGACAACCTTTAACATTTTTAATGTCTTTCAATATTCTTTACGTTCTTTAATGCCTTTTCTTCTTAGACTTTTGAAAGTAAGCTTTTTTTTATAATATTTTCTTTTTATTTGCTATTGTTCCTTAATTACCCATTTTTCTTTTTGTAGATTTTTCAACTTCGGAATTCTAGTAAATGCCTAAATGGTAAGTTCAAGTTTTTCAGAATTTCAGAAGCCTAGTTTCTTTACAGTAACTAATCAGTTTTTTTTCTTTTTCACTTTTCATTTGAGTTTCTTCTATTTTTGGCCGGATTTTCCTTGGGCTTCTTTGGATTTCTTCTTGGTTTCATCAGGTTTCTTTTGGGTTTCTTCCTTGGATCTTGCATTTTTTTTTAAGTTGGTTTCTTTGGATTTCTTTTCGCCGGGGGGCTGACGGTTTCTTCTTTGATTTTCTTTAATTTTTTCTTTGGTGTTTCTTTTGACTTTCTTCTTATGCTTCTTTTCTTTTGGTTGGAATTTTTCATTTTTTTAAACTTTGACTTTGTGATTTTATTTTTACTTTATGTTTGATTTTGGATTTATTTCGATTTTGGTTTTTCATTTATCTTCTCATTATTTTATCTTTGATTTTGGTTCATTCTAGCCTTGTATATTTTTATTTCTGGTTTCATTTAGTCTTATTTTGATCCCATTTATTTTAATCTTTGGTTCATTCCAATCTCAACTATTTTTGATTTTGGTGGTGGTTATCAAGAGTCTGTAAATCACATGAACCATAATAATAGTGTAACGAGATTATAGACTTTTAAATGTCATTATATTATAATAAAAATTTTCAATTAATTAGATCTATATATAAATTATTTTTACGCTCAAATTAAAAGTTTTTTTTATACAAAATTTTTTAACTTTTTATACGTGTAATTTATTATGGGTGAAATCACCTGAATTTAATAAATTTTTATATGGGTGAAATCACCTACTAGATGATTTCAAATAGAGAGCAAATTAGAAACAGTCATAAAATATTTTCTTATAAAAAAGAGAAATCCTTTAAAAATTCTATTTTTTTATATAGAAAATAATTTTTATATATAATCCACACATTCTTAAATGTAAGTTGTCACAATCTTCTTTGGATAAAATTTTATTGAATCAATTTGAAAATTTATAGGAAAATTATTTATTTTTTCTCTTCTCTTTTAGTAAGTTCATTGCAATTTATTCACGGAAAAGTTAAGAAATTATCGAAAAATAAGAATTATTTATTTGTTAAAGAGAGAAACAATGAAATTGAAATTACGCCATTAGATGAACTATATTGATTCAATCTTAGAAGAACTGGTACCATAAATAAAATTGCTCATTCATGATATATATATATATATGTTAACGCTTCAAAAAAATAAATCTATTTTTCAAATAAATAGACGAAAAATACATCTGACACAAAGTGAGTGATGTCACAACGTAGGAAATATCTTTTAATAAACTTGTATAATAATACAACTATTTTTGTTATTTATTACTTAATAAATATATTATTACTTAAAAATGATACATAAATTTATAGCGTTCGTGTAAATTATTAGTAAATATATACGATTCATAATACACTGGTAGTAGCGAATACCCTACTTAAGTACATGCTTCCAAACTTGAATAACATTCATTTGAAAGTTATCATGTTGAATAAAAGAAATTAAAGATTTTTCTTAAAGTGAAATAATAAAATAAATCAATTAATCTATGCTTTTTTTTCATTATATCTTTTTGTAATTAATTCCATTGATTTCCATTTTCTGAATTATAACTCCGAATTTTTTAAATCCGAATATTTTTTAACATCGAATTCTTTTTTTTCGTATACTTTAATCATAGCCGGCTTTTAAAATTCTTTATATTTTTTCTATTTTTTTCTTTTAAATATACATTTCTTAACAAACAAACGTAAATAATATAATCGATTGAATTAAAAAAATTTTGTTCCATCCCGATTTTTTTTATTTTCAATCAAAAATGATTGTAAATGGGTGATTAATTCTTGAAGACTAAGTTCATTGGAAGTATTCAAGATTTTAATAATATCCGAAGTATCATATTCTTCCAAAGAAAGTCTTCCTCCATAAATATATCTAAAATGAAAATATTTGAATATTTTCGCAAGAATTAAAATATATTCATATATATTATACATTTTTTTTATAAAAAAAATCGGTACAATTTTTTCCTACCTTAAGATCATTTGAAAAATTTCAGGTGAAATATTTGGTAATTTAATATGTACGAAGATTACATCATAGCGTCAGTCGATAAAAATCTTCGCAAATAAGGAGAACGAAAAACCTTTAAATAAGGTTCATTACCAACTTCAACAGTTATAAAATTTCAAGTAAATTTTGAGATAATTTTGATAAAAGTTTATCATTTTACATTATCACCGATTTTAAATTTTCAAAAAAATTTTTTTTTTTTTTTTTCTAGGTAAACTCAAAGAAATGAAAGAAAATGGTAAAATTGTCCCAAATTTATCGAATGAATGAATATCCTTATATGTAAGATCGGGAAATTCTTCGGCCTGAGAAACACGAAACATCTGATTCGATCATGTGATTATTATTTATGAAAATCCACAATCATCTGCTTTAAAAAAAGAGTCCAAAAAAGGTTACGAAAAATTTTCTATCTTTTTTATTGTTACCTTTCTTACTTTTTATAATTATTTTCTTTTGTATAACTTATTTAATTTAATTCTCTTATGGTGTTCTTTGCCAGTTGAATTCTCCTCTTTTTATATTTTGGGGTCGTGAACTTATTTCTTGAAGACGATCATTCAATGTATTGATACTATCCCTTTACAGGTAGTGCGTGACGTCATTGTAACGTAATTGTGTGTAATATATAGTATATACATACATACTGTAAAACATGAAATTCTTAAATTCATACTGTGCATAAAAACGAATTTTTGGATATTTAATGTCATACGGTGGTAATTAATCATTTGGTTTTTGTCAAGAAAAATGAAGAAATTTGCCATAAATGAGTTCTATGAGTTTGTTTCGGAGCCTAAAACGTTCAGGCCTGGAGACCAAATCGTCGTGCAGCATGCTGAACTGCCAGTAGTTGAGAATGAGTTATCAGTGTCACTATGGTTGAAACTTAAGAATCACGCTTCTGATTGGGCCATCATTTTTCATAAAGGTAAATAAAAAATAGTATTAGCTAATTCATTTGCCTGAATAACTCTACAACTCTCCTAAAATATAGGTACTGAACGTTTAATTCGTACACCTGGACTTTATTTAATGCCAAATACATCAAAATTGCATGTACGTTTTACCGGAAATTGGGATAATAATGTTGGAATTGAAGAAATTGGGGACGAACTTTTGTTAAATCAAAAGTATCATTTAACTTACACACTTTCTGATCCCGAAAAGAGACTGGATTTCTACATAAATGGGGAATGGGTCGCATTTTATAGTATTGAAAATGTCAAAACGCATAAAGTTAAATTCAATGATGGGCCATTATACATTGGACGCTTTTATCGTGAAGGTTTTAATGGCGAAATTAGGTATAATTTGTCATAATAATTAAGTTTGTCTATGAATCATAGAATTAGTTTAATAAATGATTATTACTTTTATCACATATAGTAATTTCCGTTATTTTAATTGGCGTTTATCTGCTGAAGAAGCGATGAAAAATTATTTGGTAAGATATATTTAATTACATATATTTAATATTTTTTAAAGAACTCTTATAATAATATATACTTTAAAATTTTAATTTTCAGAATAGTCGACCCTTTAATTAAGGAATAAGGGAAAGGGACGGGAATAAAGTGTAGAACAGGTGTAATTTAAAAAGGATATCAAATATATCAAAATTACTGATTTTAATAAAATGTTACGTTACGTTGAAGTTTATTACGAAAAATTACGAAATCGCTTTGTGTAATTTTTTTTTTGGATAAATAAAAAAAGATTTCATTACGAGTGGATTTAAACGAATGATTATAGAGTCGGTAATTGTGTCAAATATACTTTGCATGTTTTTCTTTATTTGAAACATAAGAGGGTTTTTGGATAAATAATAAATAATATTGTTGTTCACAAAATTATTTGTTTTATTTTCTGTCAGTGATTAATTCTTTGAATTTAAATGTTTGAGTATTATTTGAAAGTGAAAGTTTCCGTCAAAAATGTTGCAATCAATAACTCGAAGTAGAACTTATGATTTATAGATTGAATTCGGGTATAGTAAATTAAAACTGGTACTTTTTCTGGAAAGAATAAAAGGTTATAAGATTTTGCAGGCCGAATTTTCATTGAATCTATTGATACCAATCTAAATGATCAATAACCAGGAAATTCCGTACATTATATTAAAGATGACAAGTTATAAAAATTAACTAATAAAAAGTGTGTTTAACGCTCATTTTACAAAATTTTTGAAATTTTTAGTATTAGTATTATAAAAAAACTTAATTGAATCCATGTTCTGTTATGGTACAGGAATTACGTATGATGTACGCGGTTCGAAGAAATCTGTACTCTCCAGGGTCTAAAATTATGTATTATGAATTTTTGAGAATATAATCAAAGCTTTATACTAAGTAACGTCAGATTTATGAATCAGATGATAAACTATCAAAGCATCAAAAAGTATATATAGAAATTTTCCTTGTATATATAGCACCAGAATTGGTAAAACTACGTGAGTAATTTCATCTTAGCAATAACTACTTTATTAATTATGAACAAAATTACCAAAAAATAGTATTAAAAATTTCTATGGAATCTAACAATGCTTTAATTCTGATTCAAAAAATGTTAGTACATTAGAATGAAATAATAATTTCTTTTATATAAGTATTCCAAAGCTTATCCAGGGGAAGACTAAAATGCAACAACAGAGGACATTTAATAATTTTATTTTGTACTTCGATCCACATTTAAAATATTACATATACTATCATTTTATTCTTATTTTAAATTTAAAACAGAAAATATAAATAAAGGATATTTACAGTACATTAATATTTGTACTTTTAAAATTTTGACCTACATTATATCTAATAATTTTATTCTTAATAATAGTGAATTTTAAATATATATAGATAATTTTCTTTGATTGATAAATGAGAAAGAAAAAAATTCGATAAAAATAATAATTTAATAATTCCTTATAGGTAATTATTTACCAATGAATTCTATAAATAAGGTACAAATAAATTTAATATATCCAAAGTTTATGAAAAAATTATAAAAAATCATTTTAAAATTTTTAAGATTAATAATAATATTTTAGATAATGAATTTAGTAGTACAAAATGTATCCTTCTTTGTTCCTCAAACCTTCGAGCTTGTCATAGTTAAACCGGTTGAATTTATTTGATTAATTCGATCTTCAAATTTTCTAAATTCTTTATCACGAATAATAATTTTATCTGGAATATAATAACATCCATTTTTTAATTCTAAACGATCTAATTTAAAGATAAATGATTCATTCAATTTATGAAGTTCACTTATTGCAAAACTCAAGGTGATTGAAGCAGATACTAATGAAATTGTGATCGAAGTTTCGTTCATCTGTAAATGATCCGTTGTACTATAATATGATATTATACCAATCAATAAAGTTCTTATTGTGTAACCATAAGAATGTTTGTTTTTTTGAAAAAGTGACCAAATTATTCCAAGCAATAGCGTTCCGAATGAAGTTGTATAAATAACAAAAGCTGCGCTTTTAAGACCATACATGTTGTATAATGGGATTATGAAAACACAACCTGATAAAAAATCAATAAAACCAATGAAATACATGAAAATTTTATATTTCTTATATCTCTTATGTTTCCTTTCATCTTCTAGTTGTTGTTGTTCATCTTCATAAATTTTATTGTCATAATCTTCTTTGTGAATATAGAAATCATACATTGAAAATCCAAATGTTATTCCACCAGAAACCAGACTAACAATAAAGAAACCATATATAGCATATTTATATTTAGCTTCTAAGAATTCCGGAGATATTACAAACGCTACTATTGCAATTGTTGGAGGTAGAATTGTTTGTATAGCATCCTTTAAAATTCTCATACGCCATGTTACATCTTCATTAATATATTCTTTTAAAAAAATATGTTGTCCAATTATTGGTAAAAATCTTAACAAAAACATTTTAGTATATTTATTTTGAGACCATGTAGTTACGAATCCCTCTATTTGGGCATTTTTAGTTGGAGCTAAAATTTGTGCTAATATGCAAGTATATATGATAATAATAATCATAGCTATAGTTAAAGGGTATATTATTATTTGTAATTTACCCATTGTAACAGTTTATCACAAAAAATTTTTGAATTATATCAATTATATCGAGATATAAATAATAAAATCATGTTGCTTAGCAAAAGTATCAAAGCCGAACGGTTAAACTAATTTTTAGCAATACGTTTGGCTGAGTGAGGTAAAAATTCACAGCCAAAATCACTTGATTTGTGTAACCTGACTGTTGTGACATAAGTTATATCCTTCATTTTTAATTTTACATTAAATAAATTTATTCAAAATATACAAGGATTCATGTTTAGAGAGGAGTTATACTAGAACAAACGTTAAAATTTATTATAAAATGACTGTGAACCATGTCTTTGGAGAAAAATTTTGTGTTTGGGTTATAGATCAATTAAAAACATGAAAAATTACAGATATTTAAAATTAGGTTTTATATTAGATAAAAATACTAAACTAAATGTTACTTAAATTTTATTGTGAAAATTTTTTCATATTACTCATCAAATCTTTGAACAGAATAAATATTCTTGTTCTTCTATAATTCACTAAAAAAAATAATTAATTTCTTAACTTCTTAAATTATACTTATTAATATGAATAATACTTAATTTTTAGTGGATTGATTATTATTTTGTAAAATCATTTGTTTCAAATCTTGAAGCTCTTGTTCAAGTTTTTGTACATATTGTAATGATAACTTTTTATCATTAGCAATTTGTGTTGATTCCTGTTCATGATTGTAATTATTATTGATTACTGGCTCTGGAATATGCGGTTGTACTATTTCTTTTCTATGATTAAAAATATGATCATTATTGGTTAATTCTACTATTTCTTGTCCATGATTAAAAATATGGTCATTATTGGGTAGTTCTACTATTTCTTGTCCATGATTAAAAATATTTTCATTTTTGAATGGTTGCACTATTTCTTGTCCGTAATTATGAACTTTATTTTCGACTTGATCGTTATCATCATCTTTACTTCTATTTTTATACCGTCTGTATTCAATAAAAATTACTAAGGACAAGAAACCAACCCAAGTTCCTATAATTACACCAATTACCCCAATAATAAGTGATTTATTAATTGATGACGGTTCATTATTTGATGGTGGTGGTAAGCTGTTAAATTCGTTCGTCCATATATACTCAGTGACATTACTAATATCAAGCAATAAAATATCATTTTCAATTGAACGATTATATCCATCTCCTATTAAAATAATTAAATTTTGGTTAAATTCATATCAGTTAATTTAAATGGTGGTTCGTAAATATATTTACCAAATGATATAACCATATATTTGTCAATTACATTTGCTGCATGACCATAACGGAATGCCAAAGTTTGCCCAGATGTTTTTGGAATACGCCATTCAAAATTTATTAATTCTAATTCATAGAGTGGCGAATCTACAGGTTTAGGTGGTTTAGTAACATCCCTATAACCTCCATAAATGATTACCCTTTGACCGTCTAATCCTGTTGAAATAAATTAACTTAGTTCTTAATTCTGAATAATATGATGATATTTTTGTTTGAAATACATACCAAGAACAGCGGTAAAACCGTTTCTGTAGGAAGATATTGTTCCTGAAGTAGACTATATTTAAATAATATATACAGTAATAAGCAATAATTTCTTTTATATTTATTTAGTTGATGATTTTATTAATCTACCTTTATATTCCAATTATCATTTATTGTATCATATATATAAACCTGTATAAATAAATAGTTAATTAGTTGAACCGAAATATTTCTGTATAAAAATTCTATGTTCTAAAGGTTTATAACAAAGAGATAAAAAATGCTGACGTTTTTTTGAAATAAAACGTAAATCTCAACGTTTTAACGTTAAATTATTGCAAAAATATTATATACCTGTAAATCTAGTAAATCTAAATAATAGAACAAGTATATAAGTGACATACATCATAATAAGTAATATTTGAATCATAAAAATTGTAAAATGAATTGCTTACCCATATAAATTATATTATTATCAGGCAATAAAGTGGCAGCATAACTCATACTTCTAATTGATGCAAAACTTCCTTTACCCCAAACAAGATTTACTGTATCTAAAATAAGCATATCACTATAAACATTCGTACGAATATCTAATCCACTCCATAAATACATTTTGCCCTTGTCGTCTATAATTCCGGTCAAAGAGTACTTTCTATGATAAGTATCACCAATTATCTTTGGAATATTCCATAAATTGGTTTGTGGATCAAAGGTATAAACCAAATCCATAGAAGTGGGACCGAATCCCCCGTATAAGAATAACGTATTATTATTTGCACCACCTTTTACGGATGTAACAAACGTATGTTCTGGAATAGTATTAATGTTTGACAAATCTTTCACTATTAAATTTTGAGTATTAAATGGGACAGAAAAATCGATATAAAAAAAATCTTTTCCAACGTCACCATCCTCGGAACCACCAAAAATATATAATTTATTATAAATAAACGTTGCGGTATGTCCCCGCCGTTTCAAATTATAAGGTGTCATTTGGCAATTTATTTCAATTAATAATTGAAATAAAAACCATAATGTAATATACATTAAACTCTTTCGTAACATTATGCTATATTTAATAACTGTCTCTTATACACATCTAGATGTGTATAAGAGACAGTATATATAAGTATCGTAAGACTAACATATTTAGAAGTTATTGATAAAGTTTAATGAAAATTAATAAGATCGTATCAAAGAAAAGATTACGGTTACACATCTTTATGTATTTCTTTTGTTTGTTATTGTAGTCCTTTGTAATTAGGCAAATAATTAATAAAGAAATGCGGTTCCCGTGTGCTATGTGTGCGGTATACTATATTAGGAAATATTTAATCATCTACTTGTGCCATACTGCCTAATATATCATTCAAAAGTATGATTTATTTGGTTACATTCCATTTTTGTACTTTTATGTCTCGCTGTGATGCAAATGTATCGTTCTTATACGATCAGGTGCTATGTTCTTATACGACGTATATGTCACATAATATAGGTCGTATAAGATAGTATGTCGTACACGTATAAGAACGATACATTTGCCGCTGTGATATTACTTTAGTACATTTGTAATATTTAGCCAATAAAAAATTTTTTATTAATTATGACAGCCGGACCTAATAAGTAAAAAAGTAAAAAAACAAAATATTCAGTCAGCTGAGTGCTCATATCAATTATGGTAGATTCCGCGACAGTCTAATCTCGATATAACGAACAAACGATATAACGAACTTCATGATTTACCAAACTTTTTTTTAAAACCGTCTTCATCATTATATTTAAAACGTCTTGATATACCGAACATCATATAAACTTTATATAACATATACCGAACTTTTATTGATTTACCATTTATTAAAAAATTTTCACTTAGTCACATGATTTTCTAATTTTGCCTGAAATTAATTAATTTCGGCCAGAATTAGAACTACCTAATTTTTGCCTAAATTAATTAATGTTAAAACATCTTAATTCTGACCGAAATTGGGCTATTAATTACGTGATTTTCTTGGTATACCGAACTTTCAAAAAACTTTGGGTTCGGTATATAAAAAAATACCGAATTTTTACTCCCAAACGGTCAAACCATGATCGCGACTACAGTTAAATAATTGTATGATAATTTTTTATGTGTATTATTTAAACAAATTATAGAAAATGTTTCAACACTTGATATTTTATTTTTATTCGATGAATTTATGTATTTATTATTTTCAAAAAAAAAAAAATTAATGTATACAATTTTTTAAATAGGGACGAGTCAATTTCTATCAAATGGTAAAGAATACGGTATATTAAATGATAATGGCATAACAAAATTCAACAAAAATTCATCTTGAACTTTTTTTACCTCTTGTGTAATATTTAAGATAATGTCGTAACATATCAAAGATAAGTATCTGAACAATTATAAACCCTGCATAAGTAATAAAATACCATTTTCAAGTGATTGTAATAATTATAACAGCATTCTTTTTGAGATATTTTTGTTAAAATCATATTAAGTATTTTAAAATCTCATAAAGTTACTCATCCGAAAGTTATCCAAAAGTTACGCGTTATATTGATTTTTTAAAAAGAAAATAATAATTTTGTAAATTTAATATAATATTTTATTTCTTCATTTAATAATGTGAAGTCAACTAATTTTTAAATTTCATCCAAAAGTTACATGTTATAATTTAAAAAAAAATAATAAATTTGTAAATATTAATATAATTTATTATTTGATAATGAAGTTAACTAATTACAAAAAAATTTAAAAATCTTTAAAGCTATTATTATTAATAAATATTTTTGGAACTTAAGAAATTTTTGGGATTCTACTTGGTCTTGATGACAATGGTCTTGGCGACGATAACTCGAAGATAATTAAATAATTGATAATTGATCTATAAATAGAAATAAAAGAGAGGTTATCCTATGATCACTCAGATAAATGAGTTATTGAATTACTGGGCTGATATCAGAACGCTCATCCACGCTTACTCAGGCACATATACCAGATTTCATCTAGACTCACAAAGAATCCCGACAAATAAATATATTTGGAAAACCTTAGACATATATATACGTGAACAGACCCATGAACTAAATCGTAAAAAAGCCTTCATTGCAATTAAAGCTCAATTGAACACAATAACTCACCTTTGTTAAAAATAAGGTGGTATCAACCCAAGATTCTAATCACCTACAAGTAATGTAATTTTCTGAAAACATAAATAGGTCCAAAACTACTCCTATTTATAAGAAATATGACATTTTATTACTTATAATGAGTCATAATCATAATAAAATGAATAATTATAAATACTAATTTCCATCAATTTCCATCATATTCCTTTGATAAAATAACTTATAATGAGTCATAATTATCAATATTTACAATAAGATTAATAATAACAAACCCTGATTACTAATCTATTATTATATCTTTACTTAATTATTAAATAATGCCTAGTAAATTTTTAACACATTGTATCGTTTGCGCGGCAAAAAATTTTATTTGATTTTGGTAAAATTACTTTTAAACTGGAATTCAATAAATATGTTTTGGTAAATATTAGTATAATATCTATCATAAGAGCTCTCTTATACAATAGAATTTGTTCATAATCAAAATTTTAAGGCAGAAACTCCTATATTGTATAATTAAATGAACGAAATTATTATATATATTTGATCATTAAGCCTATATATATACTGCACATAAAAATTACTACGCAGTTAAAAAATGATATGACATTTTCTAGGATCATCCGAAGACCCGAGCTCTACGCATTCTTCAGGGCCGGCACTATGTAATGCTGGTCGGAATTATCCACAAATGGAAGCGATCTACATAATTTTGGGCTCATAACCAGGACCTGACCTTTCTATGTATAGCTCGGGGTCCTATCATCCGTCAGATAATTTTTTTTTGGTATTACAAAATAGTTTTATCATTCGATTTAACGTTAACGCAAATGAGACCGATATCATATGTATAGATAATATTTATTTCATGGCGTAGTGTAACGAATATTTTTTATGTTTATAATTTATTTTTTTGCTTTATTAAATTATGATATATACAAGCTTATATTAACAGAAGTATACTGAGAAATATTAAATTTATTTGACAAACTATTAAGTATAAAAAATAATGTATTGTAGGTTTTATTTTAGTGTTTAATGTTAAGAAAAAAATATAACAGATAAAGGTTTGTTTGGGAAACAATAATTTAGTAATTCAAACAAAATTACATACCACATTGAGATGGGAATACCGCATTATTCTTTTGATTTGTTTGATAATAACATCCGAATTTATTCATGCCTTATTGTTTGTTTCAGTCTTGGATCTCTCGTTCAAGTTCTTGTACATATCATAATGTTAATAATGTCAACGATTGTAACTACTATTTATTACTGGATCTTGAGTTACCAGTTATACTATTTCTCGTCCATGATTAAATATACGTTCATTACTAGGTGGTTCTACTATTTCTTGTCCGTGATTGTGCATATTTTCATTATTGGATGATTCTACAAATTCTCGCCCATGATTATGAATATTTACATTGTTGGATGATTCTAGTTCATAATTATGAATATTTCCATTATCAGGTGATGCTACTATTCCTTGTCCGTGATTAAAAATATTTTTTTCAGCTTGACTCCTTTTATTCCACATATATAAAGCGAAAACAAATAAAGCACAAACAATCAAAGATCCTACAATAGCGCCTGTAATATTTACATTAACTTTTGATGGTTCATTAAATGATTGTGCTGATATATTTGATGATGTAGGATCATATTCATTTGTCCAAATATATTCATCTTTATTGCTAATATCAAGTAATAGAATATCATTTTCTTCTGATTCGTTATAACCCAATCCTATTAAAGTTATTTGTTATTTATATATTTGGTTAAATTCATATAAAATCAATTTAAATAATAGTTTAAAAATACAATTACCAAATGATACAACCATATATTTTCCAATTACATTTGCTCGATGTGAAGTTCGGGACGCTGGAGTTTTCCCAGAAGTTTTCGGAATACGCCACTCATAATTTATTAAATTTAATTCATAAAGTGATGAATCTACAGGTTTGGCATTACTAGAACCTCCATAAATGATTACCCTTTGACCGTCTAATCCTATTAAAATAAAATTGTATCTTAATTTAAATACGATATTTGTTTAACAATATTATTATTTAAATACATACCAAGGACAGCGGATGCTCCTAGTTTATTAGGAGGCATTGTTCCCGAAGTTATCTATATTTAAATTAATGTTTAGTACTAAGTTATTTATAATTAATTGATAATTAACATTTATAATTACTTACTTTCGTACTCCAAGTATCATTTATTATATCATATATATAAACCTATATATATAAATAATTATTTTACTAACCTAGAACAAAATTTTTGTCTAAAAAGAATCCAATAAAAATCATTATTAAATTTATTTTTTGATTTCAATACCTTTATTAAACTACTGGCACTACTATCTAAATAATAAAGTAATAAATAAAAATAAAAATGAAAAATAGGAAAATAATAAATAATGTCAGAATAACAAAGAATGACGGAATTACTTGCTTACCTATATAGATTATCTTATTATTAGGTAATAAAGTGGTAGCACTTTTCAATCCAATATTTGGTGCACCAATTGAACTCCTCGTTTCCCAAATTAAATTTTTTGTATCTAAAATGGCGATAATATCACCAATTCCATCCCAGAAATACATTTTTCCATCATGGTCGATAGTTCCTATTGAAGCATCATAAAGAATAGGTATTACACCGGTTGTTACTGGAGTATTCCATGAATTATTTTGCGGATTAAATGTGTGAACAGATGACAACTTAATAGCTCCTGCATTTTCGATTATGAACAACGTATCATTAATTGCACCACCCCTTGCGGACCCAGCACCGAAATGTGAAGGAATAGTATTAATGCTTGATAAATCTTTTATTAATAAATTTTGAGTATTAAACGGGACAGAAAAATCGAAATAAAAAAAATCTTTCCCAACATTATTAGTTGAGAGACCACCCAAAATATATAATTTTTTATCAATAAGCGTTGCAGTATGTTCGCTTCGTTCCTTATCTATAGAAGGAAATGTTTGACAATTTATTTCAATTAAGAATTGAAAAATAAACAATAATATAAAATACTTTTGTAACATTTGCACGTTTTTTTTATTAAAAAAAAAAAAAAAAATTAAAAATAATTTTATTGAAAAACATCAGCGAATTGAAAGTTTTATATTATATGAAATTAGTGTTACATTCCATTTTGAGTTTGTGCATTAAAAAGTCGGAAAAGTAATCTTATTACCGTTCTTTGTAGATATCTTTTACACTTCGTGAGAGAAAATACGTGTAGAATTCTACGATCAAGTCGATCCAATCGTTGAATTAAAAAGGTTAGGACAATGCAATGTTGCACAGATACTAGTTTGTAATAGTTAGTATCATATCATTGTCTGATCAGAATAGGAACGGATCACATGATGGGATATACAATCATAATATGTTGTGTGACTTTGTCGCAGCAGAAATTTTATTAATGTAATATAAAAAAAATTTTTCAAATTTCTTCAAATGGTTTCATAATTGTTTCAAGAATTTTTGAAAAATTAATTTAACTTTCTATATAAGTAAATTATATAACAGATAATTCAGATAATTCATCTTTATATAAAAAAAGATTTTTTTTTTTATCCGCTCGAGTGATACAAATCAACCGACAACACTTTTTTGCACAAATAGATAAATAATAGAATATTTTCTAGAACTGATAGAAACTTAAATATACAATAGATAAATACTGTACATTTTTTTTTGTGATTTCCGTTAAAGGCTATAATAGAGCTTGGACTCGCACTCATGTAACTCGAGTTGACTCGAGTTGAACTCCCACTAAAGTTAGAAATTTCTTGACTCGAGTCAACCGGGATCACGTGGTTGATAGTGCCGGCACTATGACTATAACGGTCTGGGTAGAATTATGGATAAGTTTTTTGGCCCGCACTTTAACTTATCATGACTCTCGAGTACTCTTCGAGTCAAATAAATTCTTGACTCGTTTTACTCGAGTTGACTCATCCTAACTCGAGTCCAAGCTCGCCCGCTATAATATCAGGTTTTTTTATTAATTACAAATTCTTTCAACATATATACAGTAATTTATTTATGAAAAAAGAGTTTATTAACCTAAAAGCTTTTAATAAAAATATTTTAAATTAAAAAATTTTATGAACGGTTGCTTATTTTCGTAGTTTCCAATAAACATTGTATGATCGTTTTTCTATAAATAAATAATTTAAAAATAGAAGTAATGACAGATAAAAAAAGATTTGATAATTTAATGCAAATTACATATCTAAAAATAAGTTTTTACGAGGTTCTGTCTTTTTTTTAAAAAAAATGATCAAACGAAATTAACTTTTGCAAAAAACTTACTGATAATAAAAGTACACAGGAGACCTTAAATTGCATTCTGCTCTTTTGTTGTCAAAAGAAGTTATGAGATATAGGCTATAAGTTATATGGCTATGTTATAAGAATCCGATTTGATTTTCACGTTGTGATGACTAAGCATACGAATTAAACGAAAAGTGAATATATATTTGGAATAGTATGATAATATATTTTATAAAAATTTTTAGTTAGAATGAATACGATTTTTAATAAAAATATCCTAAAAAAAAATCGAATTAATAATTTTTTATATATTTAATATAATTATTGAACTTAGAATTATTACTATTTGAAGATATTTAATAAATAATAATATATGATTTCATTGATAAATTATCATATTTAACTGAAAAAGAAAGTATTTTTTTTTTATATAAGATGTAATTCTAATAATTTTTATTTTTCACTCACATTATAAATAATCTACACTAACTGAATTAATATTATGTAATAACTAATTTTCTAAATATAGATTAAAATCACACTATTATGCTAAATTGGGAAACATATATATACTATAGTTTATAGAATTAGTAGTTATTTTCATTCTCACATTAAGAGATCAAAATTAACAGTGTGTTTTTAAAAGAATAATTATATTTGATAATCGAAATAATAATCATGAAAATTATTTTGCAACTCAGAAATACGTAAAGCCTGAAGTGTTGCTTGGATGTTACGCAAATTTTATTGTTGTACAGTACATCATAATGTATCGGAGAACATTTTGCGACAATCTGGTTACGCAAATTATATTGTTGTACAGTACATCGGAGAACAATTTGCGCCAATCGGCAGAATGCATATGATTTTACAATATGGAATTTCCACTTTTATTTCGTTACACTTCCATAATAGAATTCTATTCTAAATTTCCAAGAAAATTCTATCCCTATAAAAAATTTTATCCGTTATTTCTGGAAAAACTCCGTAAAAGTGAGCCTTTCACGGATCCATTCACGGAAAATGTAAATGATTCGGTAAATTCCGTGATATAGGGGTTATTAATTTCGGAAATATGAGCCTTTTACGGAAAAAAGGCGTAATATAAAAAACGGATCGACTTTTTTTACGGGGTATTAATAGAATGTGACAAATATATAATAAATATTTTCCTACTTAAATTTATTATATTTTCTTTTTTTTTGAAACTTACCTTAAAATATATTGCATTATGGAAATTATGAATAGCAAAAATTCTTTTGATCCGACACCAAGATTAATATCTAGTCCTATTCAAATTTTGTTTTTCCCTTTTAGTATAGATAAGGAATTTTGTGATTGTGGAAATGCATACTCAAATATAAGATTATTCCAAAAATACTGCAAAAATTGTTCATCTGAGTATATTAAGACAATAACTAATTTTAATGCATACTTAGATATTTATGATGGAAGTGGAAAACAAAACATAACGCTTGAGAATTCAAGTTTTAAACAAATAGTCAATAAGAATTCATCTTCTATTAAATATTTAAATTACTGTAAATTTTGTTGTTATGAACGAAGTGCTATTATTTGTTCAGTTTGTTATTTAATCTCTTTCACATGGATAGAATTTACTTCTACTTTTCCAGTTCTTTACTTACCATGGTGGGATACTCATGGTCAATGTATAATTTGTAATTCAAAATTAATATTTAAATCAAATTGTCAAAAATGGTGTTCTTATTGTATCATAATTTACACTGGGTGTAGATATTGTTTAACAACAAATATTATTTTTGGAATTACAGAAAATTCTCAATGTAAGAAATGTAAAAGATTGTCATTGATTAATATCGATACGTTACCCGATGTGAAAAATATAAGAGAATATTTTCTAAGACTTAATACTCATAACTTTAATCAAATTGCTAATTATGTAAATAATATTGACGAAAATTCTAATTTGTTGGAAATATATAGTTTTATAAAGATGCTTAATTATTTTCCTTTAAGTATTTTACTTTTACATATTGCAAATTTAGCAGGAAATAATGAAAATTCTTTATATTTAACTATACCAATTATGTTCATCCCTTTCAATAACAAAAGTAATCAATGTTATTGTTGTAAAAAAAACTATTCTAAAACACTATTGTTCGAACAAAAATATTGCAAGGATTGCTTACAATGGTATATTAAATATGCAACTAGTAATACAGATAGTATTAAGACAGCAATTGGTAACTTGGATGTATGTATTAGAACAACTAATACTAATTGCGATAATCATAAACCAAGAAATTTGGATTTTTGCATTCGAGAGTGGTGTGAAAATTGCTCTGAAATTTTATATTTCAAACAAATTGTCACAAATCAGCGATTTGATTTTAAAAATATGGATCATTTTTTTAAAAAAAATCGCAAAAAATCAATTTATAAACAAAATGTATCAGATAACTTTTTTGAGTTTAAATTGTATTCCAATTATTATTCAATTTCTTTTGAATTTATAGAATCAACTTTGGTCAAAAATCATATTCCAATACTTCATTTACCATGGTGGGATGCTCATAATCAATGTATAATTTGCAATTCAAAATTAAAATTTAAATCAAATTGTCAAAAATGGTGCTCAAATTGCTTTATAATTTATACTGGGTGTAGATATTGTTTAACAACAAATATTATTTTTGGAAATACAGAAAAATCTCAATGTATGAAATGTAAAAGATTGTCATTAATTGATATCAACATGAAAAATATTAAAGAACACTTTTTAAAACTCAACACTTGTAACTATAATCAAATTACTAATTACGTGAATAATATAGACAAGCATTCTAATCTACTGGAAATATATATTTTTATAAAGAAGCTTGAGTACTTTGATCTCAAAATGTATTCTCAAACAATTGAATATTTAGAGAACAATGAAGATTATTCAATTATGCCAATCATGTTCATTCCTTTTATTAATGATGAAGATCGATGTTATTGTTGTAAAAACATCTATTCTGAAACCCTATTCAAACAAAAGTATTGCAAGGATTGCTTATATTGGTGCATTAAGTATACTACTAGTAATTTGAATATTAAATGTGCAATTGATAATTTGGATGTATGTGTAAGAACAACTAATACTAATTGTGATAAACATGAACCAAAAAATTTGGATTTTTGCATTCAAGGGTGGTGCGAAAATTGCACTGAAATCTTATATTTCAAACAAATAGTTACAAAACAGAAATTTGATTTTGGTAATTTGGATCATTTTAATGAAGAAACCTGTAGATTATGCAAAAAATTAATGTACAAACAAAATGTACAAGATGACTTTTTTGAGTTTGAACTATGTTCCAATTGTTATTCAATTTCTTTTGAATTTTCAGAATCTATTCTAATTCTTTATTTACCATGGTGGGATGCTCGTAATAAATGCATGATTTGTCATCAACCTCTAAAATCAAAATCTAGTTGTCAGAAATATTGTTCAAATTGCCTTATGGTTTATACTGGATGTAGGATTTGTTTAACAACAAATATTATTTTTGGATATATTAATCAATCTCAATGTAAAAGATGCAAAAGAATTGAAAAAATTGCTTCTATTGATACCATTGATACCATTGTTGTCGATAATGTCAGTGGAAATTCTAATATAGACGAATTTCTTAATTTTACAAAGTTCAACATGAATAATCAAGTTTATGATTATGTTAATAACTAGTGTACTTTTGGATATAGTGAGTGAGTTTTATACTAATACTACTAATAAATTAATAAAAGATTTTTTTATAACAATAGATTGTGTTTAGTGAGATTTATAAAAAATTTAATGAGATTTATTTTTAGTAATAGTTTGGTATAAAAAAATTTTCTGGGATTTTTTTTTAATAACAATATGTTGATAATAGACAATTAACTTGTTAATAATTGTTTTTTAGTAAGATTTTTTTATAGTTCACAGTAACACTAATATTACTAGTAAGTAATATAAATGAAAGATTTTTATAACAATAGATTACATTTAATAAGGTTAATAAAAAAATTTTCTGAGATTTATTTTAATAACAATAGGTATGATAAATTTTTGGTGATTATTTTTTTTAGTAACAATAGATTGGTAATAGACAATAAAAAATGTTATGAAAACATTAAAAACTGAACTGATAATGAATTGGTAAATCAGATCAGTTTTGGTCACAGTAATAATTGTCTATTACCAATCTATTGCTACTAAAAAAAAAATCACCAAAAATTTTATCATATCTATTGTTATTTAAATAAATCCCAGAAAATTTTATATATTGTACTATACTAATTTGTCATAAAAAAATTCCAGAAACTGATCTATTATATTAATAAAAAATCTAAAAAATTTTTTATATCTCTCCATTATAATATAGTAGTACTGATCTGTTGTTATCAAAAAAATTTTTTATATTGATTTATTGACTCTATTGTTAAAAAAAAATTCAGAAAATATATTTATATCAATCTATTATTAAAAAAAAAAGTTAAAATTTTTTTATATCTATTCATTGTACTATACCAATCTAATGTTATTAAAAAAAGTCTCAGTAAATTTTTTGTATTGATCTATTGTTATTAAAAAAAATCTCCCAAAATTTTTTTTATATGTCATTAAATATAATCTATTTATAAAAAATCTTTTATTAACTCATTAAACTAACTATTAATACCTATTAGTAGTAGTATTACTGGAAAAAATCTTACTAAAAAACAATTATTAATTGAACAAATTAATAATCAGTTGTCTATTACCAATCTATTGTTATTAAAAAAAATCACAAAAAAATTTATTAAATTAGTCCATTGTACTATACCTATCTATTGTTATTAAAATAATCCCAGAAAATTTTATATCTAGTAACTATTGTACTATACCAATCTAGTATTGTTATTAAAAAAAAATCCTTAAAATTTTTTATTTCTATCCATTATACCATACTGATCTATTGTTATTAAAAAAAATCCAGAAAATTTTATACTGATATAATGACTTATTGCTAAAAAAAAATCCCAGAAAATATATTCATATCAATCTATTATTAAAAAAAAGAATTCAGAAATATTTTTTTATATCTATACATTGTATTATAC